TGCTAGGTGAGCTATTTGAAAAGTTTTTAATGTGAAAGCAGTCTCATTTTTGCTTTTGGAGAGAAATCAGCACAATCATAGAGCTAGGTATAGTTTTACTCCCCACCTCCATGTTTGCCATGAGTGTCTTGCTTTTGCATGTGGGGTGGCTTTTTTTTGTTTGTTTTTCTGGGGGTGTGTTTGGTCTTGGTTTTTTTTTAATAGGTAAAATGCATTGAATTTGAATCAGAAGGCTGTTGATTTCTATTTAATTTTGAACCCTCTCTTTCAGTAGGCTGAAGGAGGCGATAAGAGAACAAATGAGAGGTTTGGGCAGAGAAAAAGGAAGCAGTAGAGTTTCAGAAGAGTTTGAACAGATGAAAGCAGGATCTGTTGCAAAAGCGTGATGGGGCTTCGATGCAAAAAGATATAGTAACTCACTTGCCCCGTTAACCTCTTCTGATGGTTTGGGTTTGGTATGGCATTTCAGAGCTTGAGTTTTATTTTTATTGTAACTTTTAAGTCAGAATACCTTTTTCTTGTCAATTCCTGACATGGAGGAATGGTGTGACCAGAATTTAAACCAGAGCTTCTTTTTTTTTTTTTTTTTTTTAATAAGTTGTACATTTAAAAAGGTAGTGTACCAGAATTAATGGTTCAGTAGAATGGGCTTTAGGTAGCCTCACTTCTGTGTACTTTGTTTCTTACATAATGAGCAGAGTGATCCCTTCATTCTCAGTGGTTTATAATTCTAGGGATTCATTATGTCTTCATCTTTGGCCCTCTCAACAATTTTTTTTTTTTACCTTTTTTTGCTTAAAAAGCAAACTTCTCGGTACCACTGTGCAACTCTGCTGATGTCAAGAAAAAATATCCACATCGCTGTGAAATGAGAAGGACAAGCCATAATAATGCCTGGATACACTTGTTTATATGCATAGTCAACTTCTGTCCTGACATTGACTTTTGTTTTATTGCCATTGAGCAAATTAGTAGGTTTATGCAATTACAGTGAGAACAGTATTAACATACATAGGAATTTATAAATATTTAAGGTAAACTTAGTGCAGTTTGGTGTGGGTGTTGGTGGCTGGTGGGGGTTTGGGGGGGTTTTATTGTTTGGTTTGGGTGGGTTGTGGTTTTGTTTTTGTGGGGTGTTTTTGTTTTTAAACTATTGGGGGGTTGGGTTGTTATTTTTTTAAAGTATCTTCTAACTAATCCAGGAAGGAAGAAAGAAGATTGTTTTTACTGTGGAGTGTTGCTAGCCTAATTTTGCTATCGAGTTAGCTGTATGTTAATGTTGTGTGGCTGACAGAAGGCTTTGGAGAACTTGCTTATATTAACTTACACCAGTGAAATTATGCTTCTAATTCTAAGAGTTAATTTTCTGCAGAGAACCTCTGTGCATTAGGTGAAATACTTTGTAGGATAAATTATGCAGCTTTGCTGGCATAGGCTGAATTTGCATTAGGAATATCCTGCTAGTGTTGTGTATTTATATGCCTGTAGTGATAAATTGTTGTATATGCTGGCCAGTTTTTAGAATTTTGGTCATTTTGTCTATGCATTCAAATTGGTGTGCGGAATGTGTTACTCCTTCTCCGATTTGATTTTGTGTGTTTGTATGAATAATGTTGGAAGCCCTCATTACTGCTGCTGCTATTTGCATTTTGCGGATCTCCCTGCATCAGGCATATTCTCTCATTATTCTCTGAGCAGTCAGGTGAGTTGTACACTATGTCTGAGATGGGCATTGAACCTGAGGTCTCATCTCTTGTACCCTAATGGTCAGTATTCCTATTTTAATAAAAAGGAAAGAGGGGGAAGAGGAAAACACTTAGGAATTTGAATCCTTGAGTAAGGATTTGAGCCCTGTGAGTGGTAAGAAACGGATCTCTTGTTGCAGTTGCTGGCGCTGGCTACATTAGAATTAGGGCATAAAGTGGCCAGCTTGCAAAAATGGGTTTTGTTCCTCTTGCAGTACTATTCATTTCAGTTGTGCTGTTTGTAAAGTTGTTAAAATGGCTGTCCTTACACTACCACCCGATTATTTTTTGACACTGATTCATGGCACCTGTTGCTGAAAGCACGTGTCAGTAAGAGTCAGTTTTCTTGTGTTGATGGGTACTCATTTTGTTTTAGCGCCCTAATCATAGTACATTCTTCCTCAAGCTTAGGTGAGGTTATATTCTGCATGCCTTCTCAGCTTACTAAAACTTTCACCGATTGAGACTTCTAGTGTCTGAGATACTATGAATTGCACTTTAATGCCATCTTTAATGGTTTCTAGTAGCTTTCTAGGGGTAACAAAATAGTGGTCTATCTTAGTAGTGCATATCTAAATATAATTATGAGCTTGGGTTGCACATTAGCAATAAGTTTTGCTACAGAATTGTCTTTGTTTTGTTTTTTCATTTTTAAGTAGAAGTATGCTGCGGGCAGCACCTGACATGTATCTTTCTGTGTTCTAACTTGTCCCTATCTCCACAGGAATTACTGTAATTAAAGAGAGAACCTGAATTACAATGGGGGACGACAGTGAGTGGATGAAACTGCCCATTGACCAGAAATGTGAACACAAGGTAGGAAAACTTGTCTTTGGGTTTGGCTTGCCGTGTATCTCTGCTGTGGTGATTCTGTGGGCCTCCACTAAGTACACCATAGTTAGGTAGTCTCAACAGCCACACAATGTGCGTGTAACAGCTCTGAAACTGCATCAGTTCTATCCAGCCTAGAGGCTGAATAACATTTATTAAGCAGAATTTAGTAGCATCATAATCTGTATGGCATAAGCATGTGCGCTGAAAGATCAGTGCACTCATTCATGTGGAGAAATGACTCATCTGTAGCTGAAACTTGTTGGGCTCCCACCTACTCATCAGTGGTTGTTAGAGCTATGGAGAGCAGTGGGGAAGACTGGCATCTCTCTATCCAGATCATCCTTGGCAGGACAAGAGGGAGTATTTTGTCCTGTTGCATGTTATTCATATACTCATTGAAGAGAGATCTTGCAGATGCCAGCTTACTGAGCACAATTTCAACTATGATTGAAGAACTTTGCGAGATTGGTGAGTTAAGATTGCACTAGCACAACATTTAAACGTCTGATTTCTGCTTCCAGCTGTGGAAAGCCAGATTAAATGGTTATGAAGAAGCCCTTAAGCTCTTCCAGAAGATAGATGATGAAAAGAGTCCCGAATGGTCCAAGTATCTTGGATTGATAAAGAAATTTGTGACAGACTCCAATGCAGTGGCTCAGTTGAAAGGACTGGAAGCAGCACTCGCTTATGTTGAAAATGCTCATGTAGCTGGGAAGTAAGTAGCCTTTTCTTGCTATTAGTAGGCTGTTACGACAGTTTAATGTGCCTCTCTGAGAAAGGCTGCAGATAAATTGTACGGTGGCCACTAACTGATTTTACTGTTGAGAGCCAAACTTGCTTTCTGATCTAGAGAATTTGCTGAATAGTGGGCTTTCCTTGTAGATGGCCTCCATGTGCATATTAACTTGACAAAAGTTGTTTACAATGTTAAAAGAAACTATTAAAGGCAGTAGTAAAGATTTCTGAAGTAGTAGAGAAAGTGAGTCAGTAATTTGGTGGTATAGGTGCTGTGAACTGGAATCCCTGTTCTTGTTTGACTAAAACGGTCTATACATACAGGGGACTCTTTTTTTTCCCAGGGAGGTATTTGTGTAATTCATCCATGAAATAAAATGTAGTTATGTTTATGCGGTGTTGCATCCAGCTTAACCAATATGAATCTTCATACCTGCCAATTTCTTCACAGGATGTTTTTTGGTATTTCACTGTTGTCTAGCCCATGAAATAGCCCGTACTCCTGAGCGTGAAATAAAAATACCTAATGGGCCAGATCAGTGCTTTGGTCCACTGACTTTGTGACCTGATGAAATGAATAAAAGTCTTATTTAAAAAACAAATAAACAAACCCAAAGCTTTGTTTAAAAACCTTACAACCTTCCAAACCCCTTGATTTAAAAGTGGTGTAAATGATTTAGTTGATTGGAAGCTTTGAAATAGATGTGAAATTCTGTGCTGGGATTATGCGCCAGTGCTATATGTTAGTTAACTGCAACATATGCAATTCCAGGAAATGGCATTTATTTGTGGACCTTAACTAATGTATGTTAACGAATACACTTTTGAGAAAATGTCTACTATTCACTATCTGGTGTAATCCAGTATTAGGAACATGTTAACTAGCACTCAGTCTGCAGGAGTTCTTTTGATTAAACTAGAGGTTGAAGTAGTCTTTTACAAAAGGTTATTACCTTCAAAGTTAACTTAGAATTTAGTCCCTGTTATATGAGGATTTGCTGAGTTTTAATCCATGTTTTGGATGTTGTGTGTGCTTTTGTCTGTGGATAATAATGTAGAACACCTAATTCACTTAAATGTTCCAAAAGTAACTCTCTCTCATCTTTCAGGACAACGGGAGAAGTAGCGTCTGGAGTTGTAAATAAAGTGTTTAATCAGCCAAAAGCCAGAGCAAAGGAGCTGGGTCTAGATATATGTCTAATGTATATAGAAATTGAGAAAGGGGAGGCAGTACAAGAAGAATTACTAAAGGGTCTGGACAACAAAAACCCTAAAATCATAGTAGCATGTATAGAGACACTGAGGAAAGCACTAAGGTAAGCTTTTAGTTTTTAGTTCATGGGTTTTTTTGTTGTTTTGGGTTTTTTTTTTTCCTCCTCTCACCCCAGCAGTATGTAGAGTCTAATTTGTTGCTTATTGTTATTGTTGAATAGGATGTATCTTTACTGAACTGATATTTTCTGACAACAGTTGAGACCATCATGGGATTTGTTAGATGTGAGAGATGTCTTTGTTGTACAAGTCTCATTTGGATCACTTTAGTTCATGGCAACCGTTTACCAAACTTCCATTTTTCACAATGGACCTCTGAAAGAAGGGCAGGATTAGTGTGTCTTGTTCCAGACTATGGAGCTTCTCTTCTGAATAGCTGAAATAAATTCACGGATGGGAAAACTAAAATGTACTCTTTTTTTAAAAACCTTTTTTAAAAACCCACTGCTTTCCTCACTGATGTGAGCATCTTTAATTGGGTACATGGTGTGTGTTTTTGGAAGAAAAGAAAAAAGAAAAAAAGAAAAAAACTCATTGCACAGTAAGTTTCCATTGTCCAAATAATAATTTCTTTATTAAAAACAAAAGCTGATACTGCTCCCCAAAAATCAAATCCAGTTTAATTAAGATGGCGTAGTTGGTTTCAAGATTAGATTTGGAACATCTTTTTTTGTTCCACTTCAAGTATGCTTGCTGCCTTTGAGTTGAGTGAAAAATACTGGGGTTTTATCAAATTCTTATACTTGGTATATACATAATTCACTGTCTGTTAGGGGTTGTGGGGTTTTTTTGTTTGGTTGGGGGTTTTTTTGGTGTGGTTTTTTTTTTTCTTTTTTTAAAAAGGAAACAGATAATTTTGGTATTAATGGACAGAACACTTTTTTCTGAGTAAAGTAGTTCATGTGAAAACTGTGTAATGTAGATGGAGAGTGTCTTATGCTAGGTATTTTTTTAGAGAACTTGCTGAGGCATATGTGTAGATGGTCCTTGTTAAACTAATTGTTTCAGGCTTCTGTAGTAGAAGTCAAAATAAAGCATTGGACTTAGCACATTGCCTGTGCTTCTACTAAGTGAAAATACTGTTCCACATTTAAGAATATATTTTGGCTATTTTAAATTGCCTTATCTAATCAGATGTCCTTTTAACAGTACAGTGTAATTAGAAACCTGCGTAACCTTCCTCTATGTCTTTCAGCTAACCACGCCTATAAAATGTGCCACATCTGCCTATTTTTTTATATGCAGTATTTTATTATCTTTGAGATTGCAAGATCAAATTCTTTCATTAAGCCCTATTGACTTAACCGTCGTCTTCTGCTTCAGAGCTGTGTTGCTACCTAAATTTGTCTTGTGCTTTGACAGGGTTTCTGCATTGATAACAAAATTTGTCTATGTTGTACCTAGGTGGGTAGCTTGAGTGCATAACTAGTTTAGCTTCTGGTGGTTTTTTTCTTGTGCTAAGGTTTCTGTTCTTTCTTGTGTTGTTATATGAATGAGATAATATTATATGAATTAGATAAGAATAAGAGAATTTGCATAGGCACTTTTCCTAATATGCTCTTTTTTGAGTCATGGTAGAAAAACAAAAATCTTGGGCAATTCATTTGTTCATATTCTACATTTAAATTGTGTTGTTTCTAAAACTGGAGCCTCTTTTGCAGGTTTTAATACTTAGTATTTCTCAAAGTGGGCTTGGCAATAAAATGTTGAGCACCAGAATTTTTAGGAAGTGAGACATGTAAGTTTTTGTTCTTGAGCAGCCATTTTTACTAGCTTTTTCATGTGGTACTTGATTGGAGGGAAGCAGAAGAAAAAGTGTGATAGGTGGAAAGGTTAATTCGGGATTCTCAAGGAAAAGAAATGCTTCTGAATCAAAAAAACTTATGTCTTCTGAGGTGATTTAGATATGATGCTTTAAGAACTGTAGCAGTTAACTTTACTATGAGTATGAAAAGAAAGTTCTTGTGTTCTCATTCAGCAGTGATTGAAAAAGAAAGTTTAGTGTATTAAGTTCAACAACATGTACAGTCTGCTGACAGGGAAGGGTGATTAGCTGGGGAAACTTGTTTTATGTGTCCTTTCAGCAGCACATATTTCAACATGTGTGTTTTCTGTGAAGATGACCCAGGCTCACTATAATTATCTGGTCCAACAAGTGGAAAAGTGACTAAAGCTTTTACTGCAGTTTGCCGCCAAGGATAGACAAAGGAGATTCTATTCTGATTTAAAAAAAAAAAAAAAAAAAAAAAAGTAGGTCATACAAATTTTGATCTAAGGACACTCTTTTCTTTTTCTCTTCCCCCCCTCCCCTGGCAAGGGAACAGATTTAAGCAGCAGATTGGATTAAGTGCTTTGAAGTAACTTCAGAAGCCTGATTTTGTAATTCCAAGCTGGGTGTGGAGGGTAATTATGATAGGGCAAATATTCTTTACATTTTACAGTAGCTTAGTAGCTTCACAAAATAATAGCTGTAATAATGATTTGAGTAAATGACACAATCCCTAAATGTGCACTGGAAGCATTTCGTAGATTGTTTAAAAAAATCAATTATTATTTGTGCATAACACTCTGGTTCCTACCTGAACACTGATGCTATTCCATGTTTTTAACTTTCAGTGAATTTGGTTCAAAAATAATCTCACTGAAGCCAATCATTAAAGTATTGCCAAAACTGTTTGAGTCTCGGGAAAAGGCTGTTCGAGATGAAGCCAAACTCCTTGCTGTGGAGATCTACCGTTGGATAAGGGATGCTCTGAGACCTCCATTGCAGAACATAAATTCTGTTCAGGTAGGCAGAAAATAGTTCTGTATCCAGACATTTGAGAAAACACTTCCATGCTCACCCTCTCTGATCCTGTAGTGTTGGGCATTCTTAAAGTCAAAGCTGGAATCTTTCAGTAACAGCAATGTTATTTTTTAGCTTCCTGTAACTTCACCTAAAATGTTAGTCCCTCTTTGTTATTTGTGAAGAAATTGTGACAATGTTTTGTTGCTCTGAATATATGTGACGTTGCAGGGGGAAGCATCATATTGAAACTGAGGAGGGGATTTGAGAAGTAGAATGGTATTTCTTGGAGACCTAACCCAAGGGCAAATGGTTACCCTTATAAAAGACCCCTGCACCAAAAGTCTTCAAGTCAACCATTTTGCAGATGACACCAAGTTGGGCGGG